TTGATGTAGACCAAACATTAGAGAATACGTCTATAATATCAGCTCATTGTCCATTCTTTAACAATGAATTAAGTAATGAAACAAAAGAAAATGGATATTATATTGAGAAGGCTAATATTAGTGAAAAACTTTTCTCAAGTAAATTTATTATTCATCTATTTATTCATTTTATTTATTTATTATATATAGAGTTTATAGATGATAAAAATGTTAAAACAATATTAAATAATGATAAGAGGCATGGTGGATAGGTCACTTCAATCAGGTTAAACTAGTGATGTTAGCCAGCTAAGGTTTTCTACTGGCTAATATCACTAGGTTAAACTACAAGGAAGTTTGCTTTAATTTAAAATAGATATCATGTAATGTTTTAATTATGCAGTTCCTTATTATTATTATTCCAATAATCTGAATAAAATTTATTCATAAATTTAAATATCTAAATTTATTTGATTAGAATCTATAAAAAATAATATTAATGTTAATATTGAGTGATGTTGAATTTTAAATTAATAATCAAACAATTACCATTATTATTGCTATTTAAATTCATTTGATTAAAATCTATAAATAAAAATAATATATATTAATATTGATATTAAATTTTTAAAATTAATAATCAAATAATTGAAATAATTACCATTATTAATGCGATCTAAATCAATTTGACTAGATCCTATAAATATGATAGTTTATAATATAATAAAAATAATGTTAATGTTAGTATTAATATTAAATTTTAAAATTAATAATCAAATAATTGATGATAATTACCATTATTATTACTAATAATTGTAACTCTATTGGAGTTTACAGGTTGAGGAAGATTTGTAAAATTCAATAATCTACTTGTATAAACAGCATTTGGATGAACAGTTGCCATAATTGTTGAAGGATTAAAGGGTTTTTTATCTGCTTCCTCAAAATTTTTTTTTATTTTTTCTAATTCATCAAGCTGTTCTTCAGAATAACTAGAAATATTAGATTCAATTGCATCTTTCCAAAAAGTAATAATTTTTAAAATTTCATCTGCTGTTGGTCTTTTTTCAGGATCAGCATCTGTGCATTTGTATGCTAACTTAATATAACATTCTGGAGTATTATCTGAAAAACTAGGCCTTAAGCCACCACAGACGCATGAAATTTTGAAATTTCATGCAATTTCCCATCCCTAGATAGCATATAATCATTAAAAAAAATTTTTTTTGATAAGAGGTGTTTGTTCACCATAATACACTTCCTTATAATAATAAAAAAACTAATGTGAAAATTTCAATAATCAGATAAATGAAATTTATTCATAAAATCATCTGGTATAGTTAATTCAATTTGTTTGGAATCTAGCATAGTTAATTCGATTTGTTTAGATTCTATAGTATTAATTTATAATTTAATTTAAAATATCATTAATAAATAATTAAGATTAAATATTTAAACAATAAATTAGATAATTACCATTATTATTACTAATAATTGTAACTTTATTGGAGTTTACAGGCTGAGGAAGATTTGTAAAATTCAATAGTCTACTTGTATAAACCGCATTTGGATGAACAGTTGCTGCAATTGTTGAAGGATTAAAGGATTTTTTATCTGCTTCCTCAAATATTTTTTTTATTTCTTCTAATTCATCCAAGCTGTTCTTCAGAATAACTAGAAATATTAGATTCAATTGCATCATTCCAAAAAGTAATAATTTTTAAAATTTCATCAGCTGTTGGTCTTTTTTCAGGATCAGCATCCATGCATTTGTATGCTAACTTAATATAACATTCTGGAGTATTATCTGAAAAACTAGGCCTTAAGCCACCACAGATCTTGAAAGCAAGATCTATATCATGTGGTTGATCTTTGAATGGCTGTTGATGTGTTGATGTTTCTGACATTAAAATCCCAAAGCTATAGATGTCAGATTTTTGTGTATAAGGTTTCTTATTTAATACCTCTGGTGCAATATATGGCAGTACTCCAACTATATCATTTTTACTTGATGTTTCTTGATCAGCTGGGCCTGATAACCCTAAATCTGCAATCATTGTCTCAGATAAATATTCAAAATATAAAATATTACCACTGTGAAAATCACTATGTATAAGTTTTTCTTGATGAAGTGTGTTTAAACCTGAGATAATATTATAAAGTTTTTTAATTTTATCATTCCATCCTGTATAATTTGATTTTAAATATTTTTTAAAATCTCCTGATGCCGCATATCTCATTATAAGAACATATTCTTTTGTATTTGGATCTTGTGAAATACCATAAATATTAGCAATACCCTTGTGATAAGGGGGTCTGGTACGTTTCCCCGATAACCGTTTCCCCGACAGGACGTTTCCCCAACAGGACGTTTCTCTGACAAGATTTTGTTAACTATATTTAATATTAATTGGCTAATAAATGGCCTAACCGACTTAAACAGCTTAGTCGCCTAATGAATGGGTTAATAGACTTAAATGGTTTGATAAACTTAGCCAGCTATGGCATGACAAGGAAACAAATAAATATTGTAATACAAAATGTATTTGTTGGGGAAATGTCTAGTTGGGGAAACGTCCTGTCGAGGAAACGTCTAGGTACCGTGGTGTATTGATCAGAAAGAATTGTTATCACATATAATAATAACAACTAATTTGATTGTCACGTAACAATTCTTTCTGGTTGTACACCACCAGATCTAAAAAAAGTGATTAATAATTAGTAGTATAATTGTTATTACAAGAATATATAAACTAGAATTTTTGATGTTGGATTTTCTACCTATTTTCTAAAAATAATAAATTAATAATAAAATAAAATATGGTCACATTAATATTATTCTTTTCATTTTTTAGAAGGGGAGCATAAAAGTTTCTATCTAATCTTAATACTTACATTACTTTCAAATCAATTGCAATTCTGTTCAGAGATATGGAAAAATTCAAACAGAACATGGACTGGTGTTAACTCAAAGCTGTCAAATCACAAAGGTGATGTACCACTTACAAATTTTCGTGTTGCTGTATGTACATTACTAATCCATAATCTTTCAAAAATTTACCATTTTATCATGTTTAATAACATTTAAAGATGGAAACTGCAATTAGCTGTAATTACATTTCCATATGCCACAACTGCAACCGCAATTCAATTTTTATGTGCTGCAACTAACTAGTCTCAATTAATTGAGGAGCCATCCTTAGTATTAGTAGGAGTCTATGCAGGTTCCGTATTCCGTACATCTGCGCCTCTATAATAAATCATGCTCGTACAGACTGGCCCCCGCCAATCAACTTTCCAGAATTAAGTATGGAATTGAAAGTTGTACGGAATCTCTACTGACTGCTTTAGTGTTAGTAGACCATTTGAAACTTATTTATTAATTAAATTTATTCAAGAGTTTATCCATTTTATTAATTGGTTTATTCAGTAAATGCTCAGTCATTTATCCGAGGTTATCCATTTTATTAATTACTTTATTCAGTGAAACCTCCATTTTTAATGAAAAACGGAACTATAGATTCCATGAATATGATGATACTAATACATTTATGGAAAAAATACGGAATGTATATTTATTAATATAATAATAAACGGAAAAAACACAGAGACTAATCACGGAGTAAATTTTTTACAGGGCCTGAAAGTGGAGCAGTCGACAGTCCATGTGTTGGTTACATTTTCCAGAAAAGAACAGTTTGTCATAATTGAAAATATCATTCAGTTGGCATTCTTTAAGAATATTTTGCAAGTCTCTTCTCATTTCTGAATAGGTGCGCTTTGTGCATCACCATGTTTAAAATATTCGCAAATTAAATATCTTTGTTTGAAATTACTTAACCGACCAGAAGAGCCACTAAAAATCTTGATTATTTAATAAATCTGTGAATTTCGTTTAATAATAGAATCCGTAATTGTTAAATTTGCGTTCGAGAGTCTTTTCAATCCACAAAATTAATGCTTCTTCAATATTAACATACAAAGTAACAGATGGTCTTTTTAATTTTGCTTATTAGACTCCTTTGATATATCAATAACTTGGCTTGTGTTGATTCCCCAATTAAGCGAGCAGGTTGGCTTTTATTTTAAAATATTTTCTCCGCCAAAATATAAATTTTCTCTTCGCGATGTTTTAATTTTACTAGCAGCAAAAAAACCGGTCACGTAGTGACAATAGACTAAATCAGCTGGATGCTAAGAATTAAGGAAAAGCGTGCGCGAAAAATAAAAAGACAAGAAGCCAATGGCTTCCCATTCATAGTTAGTTAATTCATACTTGGAGACGAACGATTAAACGCAACAACAAATCGTATCGCCCATGTTACATTACATTGCTTCACTGTATTATGGATTTATCACTCAAACTATAAGAATAATTTTGAATCAACAATAATAATAATAGATACAAAATTACCCGTGTAAAACAATGAAATTGAGAATAGATGCAATGGATACACAATAATAACCAACAAGTGAAACTGTTATACATTTAGCACTCAAATATTTTTTTTTTCGCAATAATACAAGAGCTTACTTCCATTTAAAAGTGGATCACAGATTATGAATCTTCCTTTTTCATCTCCAATATATCAAAATCCAACATTTAATGTGATCTTAGGATATTTGCCCAAGAAAAGTAAAAACTTGAACTGACTCCGATCTTTATAATGGAAAGGTTAAGGTAAATTTTTTGGCTTTCTTTGTTTTTCAAAGAGTCTATCTTATGTTCAAGTTCTTTGTCCTTGAAAAGTAATCATGAAATGCACATCCCACCTGATGAAGATAAATAAAATCCCAGGAAAAAAATAAAAAATTACAAATTCCGATTCCTTAAAAATTCTGGGAAAAAATTATTTTGATTTTTTCGATTTTAATAATTAATAAATAATAACAAAAATATTTATTTTATATATTAATCTATTTTCTTCTGATGATGATAATAATAGTAATAAATAAAATAATAATTAAATGGCAAATCTATAAAACAATAAATAATGTTCAATATATTGAGATACAACAAATTAGGATTTAACTTGTGCATCATGTGCATAAATCGGTTGTGGTTCTTTAGATGATTTAAAAAACCTTGGATTAACTCGTATTTTGTCTATGTTTCTCTTTTTTGGATGAATCTTGTTTTTATTCATGTAGTCCATGAATTGATCTGGTATTTCTTCTAGTACTGCTTTTGGTAATGAATATCCAGCTGCTTCTGCTTGATAATCTCTCATGGCTATAAATTGTACTATGTCTCTTCCCGTTGTTTTAGGTAATGATTTATTATCAGATTTCGCCTATGCCAAAAAAAATTTATTAAATATATAAATAAATAATTATGATTCAAAGATTTTTTAATCAAATAGTCAATCAAATATAATATAAGCTTACAGATAATGGATTATCATCATCACCATCAAGCCTAGTCATATGTGCGAAATTTGCATTACCAACACCAACAATAACAATTGAAAGTGGAAGCGAACTTGCTTTAACTATAGCACGAACTGTTAAATCCATATCTGTTATTACACCATCTAACAAGAATTATGATTATTATTAGTTGATTAGTTGGTAAATAAGTTTTGAATTTTTTCTAGATCGTCTAGTTATATTACTACCAATATCATTATTACCTGTGATTATTAATAATATATAATAGGATCTTGTATTCCCTGCTTTCAATTCTGTTTCGATTTTATTAGCTGTCAGGTTTATAATCTAAAAATAGACAATTAGATGATTAGTTGATATGATTGATTGATGAGATGTGAGATAAGATTCAAAATTGACATGATGGTGAAATTTTAAAAATAAACGTACTGGAGAAAAATTGGTTGGTCCATATAATTCAACGGTATTTATTGTTTGTGAATACACTGACAATATGCCTTCTACACCTTTAACTTCTGGCTATAAAATAAACAATATATACGTAAGCAAATATGTATATATCTATTGATATTAGTAAGAAGAAATACTGACATTTTGATGATTATTATTAAGAGGATGAACATGAGACAATATTCCATTAAATTTTGCGCCGAATCCATAAACCTAATAATTACATACAACGGTCAATGTTATTATGATTCTTTTGATTATTTGATCATCATAAATTGTTTATGATTCTACTAACAGGAAATAATCTATCAGAATCATATGCTTCTAAACTATATATATATATATATATATATATTTCAAAGATTAATGTTAATGTTAATATTAATATTAATAAATATATAAAAGTGAAATATTTCAAATCTAAAAATTTTTACATTGTTCCAACGCTTTTGATTGCTCGTTGATAATCATTTTCTCCTCCACCACTATAATGTAAACTTTTTGGATTTCTGGGATCACCATTTGATCCTGTAAAATCAATTGCTACCATAAGACGAATTTCTGTGCCACCTGCAATATAATCCAAAAAACTCGGAGGTTCTTTTACCAAAGCTTTAACAATTGTTATGTTTGCATCTTTTGAAACTTTCCTTTGTGAGCCAGGTTGAAGCTTCAATGGAAATGGCTTTTTATTTTCCATAATCTCTCGAAGTGTAACAGAACATTCTCCAAGAGGTACATGTTCTGAATGAAAATATTGGTTTTATCATTTTATCATTATTTACTATTTAATTATTTAACTAATTATAATGATGATTGCTATCATACCTCCATTCCTTTTATATTGTTTGACTTGTAATTTTAATTCTCTATCATAATCACCATTACATAAAGTGGATTCTCTTACTGATTCGATTAATTACAACAATAAAAGAATTAAATTTAAGAAATTAAACATTTGTTGTGAAAATAAATAAATAAATAAATAAATATATAAATAAATATATAATTTACTGTAAAGTTCTTGCCAGCATGGGCTAGAAGAAGAAACTACTTCTGATTTATTAACTGGTGAGAATATATTATTACTCTCATTTTTTCTACTAATAACCAAAAATGTAGTTGCTTTTGTTCTAAAAAATCTACCCTGAATGATGTCAACAATTGGTATGTTTAATATATTATAAAGCGTAAAATTTTCTAAAATGTAATATCTTAATTTTACGATATTTTTTTTTAATAAATCACCTTGTTAACTATCTTACGTGCTTGGAACTGTAATCTAATTATTGATTAATAAATAAAATTTAATTCATAAAATATTTATAATATTCTCAATTAATTTATAATTATAATATAAATAAGAAATAATTTTTACTAACTGTAGATTTCTTTTGGATTTACTAACTTCTTCAGCTAAAATAGTTATGAGACCACGTTTTTTGCCAGGATGATCAGGCAAAGTCAAAATTCCATCCATCTTTCCCCCTTCACTGGCAACTTTAATCAAAATGATTTCATTAAATTGTTAATTGTTATAATATCATGCATAATATTGTAATTTAAAATCTTACCAATTGATCCTAAATCACATTCAAATTCGCCAATAAGGTCTTGATGTTTCCAATCCGTATCTTTTGGTTCATCAATATCTACACATATAAATCTAATGTTTTGGAGAACAAAAAGAAAAGTTTTAATTTTTTTTTTTTCGAAATAAAAAAAAATCAGAAGTAAAACTTTTCTAATTGCCTAAGTTCTTGTAATTCTTCAAACGCATAATCAACAATAAACCCAGTTACAAATTCTGGATTTAAATCATTCTCTATGACTTCAGTTTTACATAGTGGCTTCCATTCCCGTGTTTTAGGATCTTTTATTGATAATAAAATCTGGGGATCGCTTTTTGAAAGAATATCCAAGTCTACTAAATCTTTACAACTAACTTTTAATTCAACTTGTGAATGAGCGCAATTTTGCGTTGGCGCCTTCATATTTAATTTACAAAAAATAAAATAAAAATATATATTCAAAATCGGGGTTTTTTTGTTTGAGAATTTTTTATTTAAATCTATATTAATATTTATATGTTGCAGTACATAATTAATATACACTAAAAAAACTTGATGTAATGTGACTATCTTATTTATATATACCAAAAATGGAAGCAAGGGTTTTGGTGTACCTCGAGATGGCGTGGTAAGAGTCGTCCAAATCTTTAAGGTAGGGTGTATTTAAATCTCTTAATACAACTTTTTTTTTCGCTGCAAGTCAACTTTCTGCAATAAAAATTTTTTACGGCCATGTGTTTTGGTGATAGCCGATTCGTTCATAAAACATTTGTGTATCATGCCAATTTTGGGATAGCAACATACACACGTTAAACTTGATAAATCGGACGCAGCAATTAATTGTTTAAAGACTTGATAATATAAATAAATGACCGACTTGTCGAGTTTACATTCTATGTTTGTTTTTTCAGGTGTTTTTTTTTGGAATAAAAAGTTGTAGAAATTTCAGTTGATGTAATTGAATAACAAGATGCTTTTTTGGGTGATCGATAAAGTAAAGGGAAAACACATACTTTTGTAATGTAACTATTCCATGAGAAAAAGAGGTATTATTCCCGTTTTTGAATGAAGTTATCCAGATTGTGAATCAAGGTTGGGTGACGAAAAGACAAAATAAAAGTCAAGAGTCAAAATCGATTGAATTTTTTCTTTGTTCAGTTAGAACAGTGCTTTCATAAAAGTTGACAAAAGAGCTTGGACATTTTGTTTTTTGTTTATTTCATTGTTTTGTTGGTTGTTAATTTCATCCAAATAAAAACGAGAAATAGAATAATGATATCCAGGACATTCACTAGCTAAATGAGCCTTGAGTTTAAAAGGTGTTCCACGATTCCAGGTTTTTGAACAATATTTGTAAGATGCTGGGAAATGTCCTTTTACTTTTTCCATATATCAGACACAGGACATCCTGGAACTAATTCTTGATTGTTGTTCAGATATATTATCTAAATTTAATTCATATAGAAGGAATTGGTGAATTAGAATTTGACATCATGAATTTTATTATTACTCCTGAACCAAAAATGTAAATAATTTGTTGTTATTGTTGATTTCGTCATCTTCGTCAAATTCCTCAAAGTGTAGAAATCCTATTTCGTCATCCAACATCGCAGGGAATTTTTTCTCTCCAAAGATTCATAAACGTACGTATCTTTGATTACATCTAAATTTGTACAAGTCAAAGCTCGTTATAGTGGACACTCGGTTCCAGACATTTTTTGTCCATTATAAAGAAAAATCCTTTTATAGTGGACTTATTACAAATAAATTGAAAAGTCCCTTATAACGAACAAGATGAATTTTTTATTAAATAATAATGCAAATTCATGCACAACAAAATAAAACGGTCTAATGTAAGTTGTTTTGCATTTTTGATTTTAAACTATTAATTGTTTTTAATTATTGGCAACTAATTGTAAAATTATCTTAAATATTGAATCATTTTTTCTAAACTATCTGATCCTTCTTAATAACCACCATTTTCCACTTCTTCCTCTTCATCAGAATTATTAACCTCAGGATTTGGCTCCACTGCCCTAATAATTTCTTCGTCGGTTAGTTCTGTACCGGTACTTCACCACTAATGTAAAAAAAATGTTCTGCATTGATTGAATCTTGCAGATTTAATCCATCAAAAAATTCGTAAATCAATTTCTTTATTGTTAAAGAAATCAACAAGTCTTTTTTGAAAATGAAAAGTTATTTTGACACTATTAAAAAAAAAAAGAGGATACTATGTAAATTGATCTATGAAAGAAATCAACCAATCTTTTTTTAAGAAGTCCACTATAGCGAACACGTTTTATTGTAAAGGGAATTGGGAAATAAAAAAGTCCACTCCGCTATAGACAAAACCCACTATAACGAGCTTTGCCAAATCTTCTGTTTAGGACAAGATAGTCATGTCAAAAAATAATGAAAACTAGTTCTGAGTCCTCCAAGCTTTTTACATTGTATTTTAAAATGGTAACAAATTTTTGGGGCTCAAAACAATCAATTTTCTTTAAATATAAGTATAGATTCTAAAATTGTTCCTCATGATGAATTACATATAAGAATAAAAAACTGGTCCAAAGGTGAAAAGGCCATACATGAAATTTTATTATTATGATGATCAACTATGAGTGAACCAAATCTTGATTCTAATGACATTGTACAAGAAATTCCCACTTTTTTGTCGCAACAACTTGGTAATAATTTATATATAGTTCAGCATCCTGTGAGACCGCATAATAATCTTACACTGGAATCAATGCTCCTTGTGAAACATGATTTAACGGGGTTCTATAAAATTAGAATTAGGCATTCCACTTTAAACAAATTCAAAATGGTATGATCACGAAAAGAAAAATTTTTAGTATTAGGGCTTAATGATAAAGAAGCAAAACAATATATGATAGAAATGGTGCCGAGATCAAATTGAAGGATCATTAGATCGACAAACTTTACAATCCACAATTGTTCCTCAACAAGCCAATTAATAGATGGGCAGTTAAAGATGGTGATGATGATTTGACTAATTGATCAATTTTATAACTAATTAACTAACTATATTCTCTTCGATTAGGCAATCTTCATTTTGTCACCTATACAATTACGTCCAGGATTAAAATATTTGGACAAAATATACAAGAAACAAAAAATGCTATATAATAATAAAAAGGCTTAAGCTATGGAGGAGAGGATACCAATAATGAATTTGGAGGCATGAATGGAGGAAACATACAAACAACTGATGATTTTATTATCAGATCAAGCAAAACAAAAATTACAGGAAAAGTTGAGGTTACTTCAATAACAATTAGTGAACCTTTATATGTGTATATATTATATACATATATCCCATTCTAAATTGTTAGCTTATAAATTATTATACAGTCAGACCTCCATAAGTGCAACCCCCCTCGGGAATGAGGGACAGCATGCATTTATGGAGGGTGTGCATTTATAGAGAGAAGCAATTTCATTGGTTGCACGTTATACACAATATTTTTATTTAAAGATTTAATTAATAATAAAATAACTATCCATTATAGTTTATTTCGATGAATTTACTTTTTTTACACTGATATATCTTTCGATTTTATTAACCAATTTTATTTGTTCTCTAGCATTTTTTTGCTGTAATAAAAATTATGGGCAAATATTCCAATAAATTACAAGCTATAAAAATAATTTCATTGTAAAAATACAAAGCAATAAATAAAATATATAATTTCATTATAAATTACAAAGATTGTAATATAACAAAAATTTTTTGACCTTTGTTTGTTATAAAATTATGTGATGAAAGAAAATAGTAAATAACGAACAAATTTATTTTTGTTTACACGAAGCCACGAAATCCAGTTACACGATGAATTCTATACATTGGTCACGTGGGTGAATTTATGGAGAGAGTTTTCATATGAGCGAACTGAAAAAATGCCGTGCAGTGCAGAGTATGGGTGTGCATTTATCTCTAACTTCCGAGGTTGGGAATGAGACATAGTGTGCATTTATGGAGGATGTGCATTTATCGAGGGTGCACTTAGGGAGGGAGATCTGACTGTAAATGATTTTCAAGGAAAAAACACAAATATAGAAAAATCATCCGCAAAGAAAAATGTTTATACAATGCATAACGATTTAATGATGATGAAGAAATGAACTATTCCGGTTATGATGCAAGTCAAATAAAAATTGTTTGTGAAAATATTACAGTGAATCTTGATTTAGCGGATAGTTTGGACAATTAGGAAAAGTTTTCCAAAAATCCGTTAAACCGTAATATCCGTAATCGAGAAGGTTTTTATTAAGGTTTATTATTACTATGGAACCGTTCTTTGAACTTTATCCGTAAAGCCGAGATTTTAATGTAAATGTACAATAATTATAACGTTTCATAAATTTATTAGACTATTTCAATGGTTGCTTCCAACTTTTTAAATTCGTTAACGAAACAATTGAAACAATTGTTGGTGAAGTGATTGTTGACAAACCCATATTTTTTCTACGTTATCAAATTCACAATTTTAATTGGTCAATCAACAAATTGCATGGGTTAAAATTTGTGTTCCCTCCTGTTGAAATTGAGGCTAAGTAAATTTTGTGTAACATTTTTTCATAGAATATTGTTTACAACATATCAACATATCGGATTATTGTTATTTGCATTATTTATTTTCGTTTTTTTATTAATAAATAAAAGTTCTTTACAATAAAAAGTTTAACGAACATATTACATTAAAAGAAAATCCTTCCCAAATTTGGGGATGTAATTCGAAATATTGTAACACGAAAATTATTATTACATTTCTAAGCATGAAAAGAAAATTTGAGACAAAATTTTTTTTGTGTGAATTGACTTGTGGATTTTTTTAAAATCCAATGTGTGGATTACATAATATTTCAAAATTTTTAACTTTTGAGTATAAGTGATCTGTTTTAATGGCGTGTAACCCCCTTAATGAATAAAATGATTATCAGTATTCATACATAAATAGTTAGTTGTATGCGTTTTGTTCAAACAGCAGCAATTTCTTTTTTCTTAGAAAAAACATGTCAGGATGAGCCGATAAAAGAAGAAAATCAACAAGAGATGTTGTGGAAGTGATATGGTAAGTGTTTAAAAAAAAGAATGATAGTGGTGATTGCAATGCATCATTGTCATTCTAGTTTGCATTTATTAATTTACATGATGATAATAACTCACAATTTATGAAGTGTTTGTTTATTTAATTATGGTAACAAATAGTAATGTATCGAAAAGAGACAAGGAAGAAGACCACAAAAAGGTATTGATTTGTAATTTTTTTTTAGTCAAACAAACATCCCTTAGGGCACTGACATATATTAGCTAATATCATTTTAATAGTAGTGCTTACTCCCCCACCCCCAGGTAAGACATTTTGATCATGTGTATGACAATCGTTTTGCCTTTTTAGGTATCAACAAAGCACAAGTGAAAAAAGAATTAATTTTATTAATAAATCAAGCATTTTAAAAGCAACATTGGAGTAAATAAATTTTCCTTTATAATATATTATGATCTCTTTGAATTTCTGGGTATGATTTAAATTGGCTATTTCTTGACAAAACAACTTATTTGGTTCTGAGTGTAATAACTCTTACTTATTTGAAAATTATAAACAATGCATCTTGCTAAAGGAAAATCTAAAGAACAAAACTCACAGATTCTTGATGATTTCTCTCTTCTCAATCCAAAAAAGTAGCCTCTTTTGACAAAATATATTTAAGGAAATGTATATCAGATAAAGAATGATTAATTATAGCATTTATGTATATGAGAATGTGAGAATTAATTGCCATATCATCCTGTAGACAAAAAGTGTAATACAATTTTTTGTGCAAATGACAATTGGTTTACATGTAGATCATTCCCAAATTGAAACACTTACATTCAAATTACAGTGAACCCTCCCTAAGTGCACCCTCCCTAAATGCACGCACTATGTATACCCTCCATAAATGCACGGCCCATCTCATCCCCAAGCTTATAGAGAGCTTATAAAATCACCCTCCATAAATGCACACTCACAAGAAATAGCACTATGTTCCCGAGGGGGGTGCACTTATAGAGGGTTCACTGTATAAAAATGCAGATCTTTCACTGAAGCCATTATGATCACGTTATTTATGAGATTATGTGTGACCTAAAATTTTCTGTTATCCCCCACCCCCAAAATATTAGCTAATATATGTCGGTGCCCTTAGGATTGAAGTAATTATATTACATTAACATTTTTCAAAATGACTTTGCGAACTTTATTTTGACATACATTAGGATGAATCACAGCAGAGTAGTAATGAAGAATCACAAGAGTACCAGTATTTGGATGATGATCCTACATCAGATTGTGAATTACCTAATGAATTGTCTGAGGTAATTAACTTTTGCTTCATTCTGTGTAATAATTGTATTTACTCTATCCAATTTTCTAGGAAATTAATGGTTTGAATGCCAATGAATTGTCAATTCGAAATACTTTGCTTGAAATTCTCCATCAATATCAATCCAAGGATGTTGAATCAGACAAAATACTAATTAGTTTGAACTTCATAAATGGGATAATAGATATAACAAATGTTAATGTGAAGAAAATAGTACAATCAAAATTGAGTGAATTGAATGAAGGACAACAATGGTTTGATCAAGTTCTCAATAAAAAAACTTGGACTCCAACTTCTGAGTTTATCAATTATTGTAATCAGTTCACAGATGATATGTGTAATCATATAGAATTCACCACTTTGGTGCGTAAGTCTTTTGTCATAGGGCGTTTCGATCCCTTTGTTCACAAAGGACATTGTACATACTTAATAATGAAAACCTAAACAAAAAACCTATAAAAAAATTTTTTTATTATTATGTGGAATTTTAAACAATCAAGAAAACAAAAAATAATATTGCAATTTTTAATCAAACTTATTTTTTTTATTAAAATATCATTTTATATGATATTATTATGAAATTTTGCATAAATATTCATTAAAACCTGAGCTACATATTGATATAAATTTTGTGTTTATTTATTATGTGGATTTTTGTGTATAACTTATCTTTATTAATCAAATTATTTTTATTGCTCAGTTGACCCAAATATTTAGCAACATTAGTAAATTAGCAATTAGTAAGCTAGTAATACAGAAAATAGGATTAATAAGCATATTTTATTAGACAAAATATTGTAAAAGTCATGTTATTTGTAATACCTCAAGAGGTATAAAAAGGCTTGGTTTTAGACCAAGTGAAAATAATGTGGATTGTGTTAATAACATTCATAATAATCTATAACAATTAAATAATTATATATATATATATATATCCCCCCCTCCTGTTGTTAATAATTAAATAAACACATTTTACCTTATTACGAATTTTTACATAGTTAACAGGAAAAGCCATTGTGAATTGTTCCATGGCCCTCTCTGATGATTAGTGGTCTGGCCACTAATCATTAGTTAGGAACCCCCTAGTTTGATTGTTCTATGCTGCCTGTAGGGACGCCTCAAGTGGTATATTTGTAAATATTTCTTGTATGTATTCTTTTATTTTATTATCTTAGGCTAATGCCAACATTACTTACCATTAGTACTGTAGAGTAGGAACTGCGCAGTATAGAGTATTTTGGGAAGGCTTCTAGCTGTGTGCAAAGATGGAGGAGGCCTTGGGAATCGGGAACCCTTAGTTATGTGCAAAGGTGGGGAGATTTATATATTGGACTTTTATATGTATTTTATCTTATTTTTATTGGACACATCATGAGCTGTATTTTACATGCTCACAACATGATATTGTTCAAGAAATAATGAAATTTTTGTAAGTATTTTTGCTTATGAAATTACAGTCTCATTCTTCAAATGGTTGCTAATACCAATAATCAATAATAGTTCAGTGCATTTGGAAGCACCAAGTAACATAAATTCAAATGCATGGAAACTGGAAAGAACTTATGCAGTTGATACAATTATATATGTCATAAATAGACTTTTCAGGATGCATCAAGACGTTCTGGATGGAAATTGGTAAATGCCAATTGTAAGTTTCTAATAGTTTGAGTTATATTTGTTGGTTAATTCTCTTTTTTTATTAATTCAAAATAGAAATATCGACTGCTGATACAAAATCCCATAAATTTGATGGTGTTTGGAAAGCTTTCCAAATAAAAAAGAATAGTCAGTCAATAATAATAATCGAGTTTTCATTTGGCCAATATGCCCCAATGGACAAAGATGCTGAAGATAAAGTGAAGTTGTGTCACAACACTAAATGAATTTTAAATAAGTTGTTTGATAAAGTCCCATGCAAGGATGCACAAGTTTACACCATTCAAAGCATTAGTGAGTATCACCATAAAATATTAGTTAATAAAAAGATTCATGATTATTTAACATTTTTTTTTTTCATATAAGATGGAATGATTAATATAAAATATATTGTACAGCTATACATGAAGTCAAAATGTTTCGACTTGAGGCAACTACATAGTAAAAATCAGTTTTGACCTTATTTCGACCCTATTTCGACCAGGTCTGCAACTGGTTGAAATAGTTTTGACTTCATGTATAGGTATGTCCTCCCATTCAACATACTTGTATGACGAGTTTGTAAGCTTTAAAACACCTACTACTTTCAATGATATGGGGCAATTACTAAGGATGTGGCAACTCTTATGGATTTTCAGGTAATGAAGTGATGATAAATATTTATTGATGCTCTTTGGATGAAATTGATGGTAATTTGTTTTCATATCATAGATGGATGTCTTGTAGACTGTCAAGTTGATGAATAAGAAAATAAAATTGCCAAAGACAATAAGGTATACAAATCTAAAGTGATAATTACACCAGAGAAAAAGAAAGTCATAAAGGAAATCACACATTCATATCCTGAATCACCTTCTCTTGGAACACCAAGTTCATCATTGATTTAGATAGATTTAATTCAACTTATTTAGATGTATAGTGAACCCTCTATAAGTGCACCCCCCTCAGGAACATAGTGCTATTTCTTGTGAGCGTGCATTTATGGAGGGTGTGC